CGAGAGAGAAACAAGGCAGACGGCGGAGGAAAGCCGCTAACCAAGCACTGTACAGGGAGAACTGGGTGTCGCTGCGCCACCCGCGGGAGCCTGGCTTTTGCCCCTCGGGAATCGCCGCCTTAATCTCCTCCCCCAAATGCTTCTGGCAGCCAATTCTCGGTGAGGAAGCCATGACGTCACTGTTGCGGGGCAGATTGGGAGTGCCTCCTGGTCTTTCACAGGCAAGATCCGACGCGAAGGTTTGGCGAAAAATGAAGGTGCAGGGAAATGGAATGGAGGCGAAGAGGACTGGGGAACAGGGTGGGACAGGAAAATTTATATACTTGTAAGATCCTACAGCTAGGAGAAAAGCTTAGAGTTACCTAGCCTAACTTCCCGTTCAGTGTTGGCTTGAATGTCCAGGAAGGGGAGGCTCACTCCCACTGTCGGTTCCGCCACGCTGGGACAGTTCTGATGGAGAGGAGATTCTTGTTTCTGTTGAACTGAAACCTGCCTAACAGCTCTACCCCACGAGGAACCTACAGAACGACTAATGCCTCTTCCACAGAACAACCCATAACATTTTGGCCAGGAATTCATTCCCATNAAAAAAAAAAAAAAAAAAGCCCAAGCTCCTGACTCACCAGATTAGTAACAAGTTGAATGCTTTTCTTTATGAAAGGTGAAAATCTCGGTGAATTTCGAAATAGTAATAAGGAAGATACAAAAATGGATTAAAATGTTGATAGATAAAATTGAACCTTTGGCAAAATATCACCGGTTTTATATTCTCTACATTTTTTCCAGTTTTCTACACTGTGTATGTTACTTACAGAAATACACCAGCATAAAGGAGCAGCCCCTGGCTTTGCTACAACACAGGCTCACAAGCTCACAGGCTGCTTGCACTCATTTGCTGGTGCATTCAGATCAGTGTTCTCATTTCTCCAGCCCACCTATGAAACATCTGGCTAAATTGACATAAAGTAAACACTTTACGTGTATCAGTCATTGAGTCTCCATGGAATACCCAAATCAATTTAAACTCTACTAAGAAAGCAGGGCCACAAAAAGTGGTGAAGAAAATGACAAACTCCTCTTAACATTTATGCCACCAGAGGGTGTTCCACAAGAAAAGTCACTGCCATGTGGGCCATTGACAGCACACCATTAACTCTGTACCATTTGCAGTTCACCTGAACTCATTCACATAATTCTCATCATAACCCTAATAAGGTGGATGTTATCATACTCCCACTGACAGAGGAGAAAGCTGAAGCACAGCGTGTACACTTGCAAAAAATATACAATCTGGTGTGGGGCCATTTATCAATGTGTATTAATATAAAATGCACGTGCTCCTTGAACCAACAATTCCACCTGTGTAGGAGGCAGTAAACTTCATGGGTATGTGACCAAGACAGTTGCACAGGGCTGTATGCTTAGAAGGGGACACTGTGCTTGGGTTTTAGTGCTCTGTGTTACTGTCTTGAAATTCTTAATAATTTTAGCTTTCAGTTTGTGTTATGTAAGTGAAGTCCACTGGGATCACGCTGGGGGTTTGGAACTTAGGCTCAAGCTGGGTCTTGCCTCTCGCTCCTTCCAGCCTCCCCAGGACTGGTTTTCAGATGCCTCCAACTGGTCCCTGGAATCCCTGCCACCCTATGTGCTGCCCTTTCCCAGGAGGACCTGGGCACAGGGGAGAGCAGAGCCAGGCATACATACCTGTCTTGCCAAGCCTAAGGGCAGAGCCTTAGGCATTTGTGAAGGACTGCATTCACCTGTAAGTATCCCTGTGCCTGAAGGAGTGTGACATTAAACAGAAAAAAAAAAAAAAAAAAAGCCACTGTGACAGATCAAGAGTTGAAGTTGCAGAGGAAAGAAAAGGCTTTTTTCTTGTTTGAACGTGGTGCACCATAGTGTGATTTTATACTGGGCCCATCAAATTATATCACTGGTTCTTGTAAATAAATATTCATTGCCAAACTATATGAAAGGTTGAAAATGATGGTCTTATCATCACTGACTTTGCCTTTGGGTAATGTCACAAGAATATCATTGTGCTATAACTGGAACATAAATTTCATGAAGGCAAAAATCTGTGTGTCTTACTGCAACTTTAATAATCAGAGCCTAATATAAAGCTTGACACATAACGTTTTCTGTTAAATATTTATTAATTCAAATTAATGGAATGCATTTTTATTTATCCTAGTCAAAGAGACATTTAAAAAATTAAAACAATCCAGGAGTCCCAGAACTAAATATTTAAAGTATGATACATCCATGCAATAGAATATTGTGCATAAAATAACAAGGATGTCCTTTGGGTACTGATAAGGAAAGCTTTGCAAGATAAATTGTTGCTACCATTTATGTAGGAAAAAAGTGGGGAGTGGGTGCATGTCATCACTTGTCCTCACATGCAGTGACCTTCCTGGAGTTCTCTCTAGTGGCCTATATGTGGAAGGATTCAGAGAAAAAGTTCAGGAGGCTCTGGATGGCTGGGAGGGAGATTTTCAAGTACGTTGTTCTATAGCTTTTGGATTTTGAAACAAAAGCAAATAAACAACCAGGTAAACAAAAAAGTAAGAATCCATTTTATAAAGTACAACAGTGCTACATTGTGTATCAGTGTGGAATTATGCATACTTAAGTAAACAAAAGAAGCAGAATATTGTGTCTATTTTCATTTGTGTAAGATATATTTTGCACACTATAAGGAAAAAGCTTATACAGTACTGTTATTAGGTAGCTACCTGGCACTTATGAAGTGCTTACTAGTTCACATGTAGAGTTTTGATTAACATGAACATTCCTTGTATTCACAGTATGTCACTTTGCACACATGACTGTGTACATGTCCTGTTATCAAACAATGGTGAGACATGCAGATTAGGTGGAAATGACTGAGGAGAGCAATGCATTCACAAAACAACCCGAGAAAACTTGCAAGGTCATGTAGCATATGCTATGTAAAATCAAAGTGACATTTAAATGCTGAAGGAAATGACCAGCTGTGATCAACACAGGGGTCTTGCCTCTTAGAACATCCACATCATGCTCTGCGCCCAATGACAACCTGATGCTCCTACACCCAGATTTTTGTACACAGCAACTCTACCAGCTTCGTTTTTGCAGGTGGCCCCTGCTCCTTCCCTTGGCTACATCACCTTTGCCCAAAGGGCATGTTCTCCATGGGACTGCGCAGCCAGCTCCAGGAATCCACCTCCTTCCCAGAGACGTTTTCGAGGGCATGGAGGGGAGTGAGGTGACCTCTTCAGAGGTGAGTGCTCTAGTCATCACAAATACCAGTTCTGGGGCTAGAAAGCCTGACTTCTAGCCACTCTCTAGTGGGGACCTTGAGCAAATTACTTCACTTCTTTTGTATCTTTATTTCCTCATCTGTAACAGAGTTAAAAATAGTTTGACATATGTTATACTGTTGTGACAATTAAATGAATTATCAAGTTAACCACTTAGAACAGTGGCACATGGAAACATTCAGTAAGATATTTGTTGGTGTCTTGTTTGTCTTTTCAGAAATGCTATGATTTCTCCAAAGTGGCAGCTTTGATGCCTAGCTCCTGACCCTCTTTGTTCTCCAACGCTCCACTCCACCCTGATCTCCCATCCAGCTTTTCACAACTGGACTGGTGCTGGACAATTTCAAGCACGCTGTGGCCTCCAAGCCCTGCCCAGGCAAGCACCTGTGCATAACTTTCTTGCCTGAATGTGTATCATGGAGGAAGAGCATGGAAGGATATTTTAGATCTTGGAAAGAAAGAATCCCCACTGGAGAGGAAGAGGCTCCTCTTCCCACCTGATTCATCCCTCCTGATCTTAACTTTTACCCTCACAGCTCCAGAGTAGCCAATCTGCTTGTGCCCAACTCCAGCTGCTTTACTGGGGAGAAAGAATAAACAACTCCCAGACTCAGCTGACCAGAGTCTGTCCTTCCAGCCTCTTGTGCTCATCTCAGACAAGAGCAGAAAATATTATGTCCCATAGTGATCCTAGCCCTTGCACGATGCTGCCCAGTATCATTTTTCAGGATGCTGGAGATGGTCTGTATTTGTGCTGTCCCGTGCGGTAACCACTAGCAGTACATGCTCCTGAGACTTTGAAACACGGCTAGTGCAGTCAAGGAACTGAATTTTTATTTTGATTTAATATAAATGGCTGCTTGTGGCTAGTGATTACTGTATTAGACAGCATGACTTTAAACTGTCCACCCTGACCCTTTTTTCTTGTTTGATGAGACATCCTTGCTTTAAGATTGGCACATATGTTTTTCAGACTTGGTGCTGATACTGGTCTCACCCTTCACTGATCAGATGAGTAAGGGAAAAGGTTGTATTTCCATTCTGGGTCTCACCTTCCCCTGTAAGGAAATCAGAGAATTATACCAAGGGTGGCAGATGCATCCTGTTATGGGCTCTGTCCTCATGCCTGTGTTGAGTAACAGTTATTGACCTCCATGATCTTCCTTCCTCCATGTTTGAGTCACTGAGCACAGGTGGCCATCAACTCCTGACTTTCCTAAGTATATTTTTAGGAAGCAAGATACTAAGCCCAAGCAATCGGCCATGGATTTGAACAGAAAGAAGGGAGTTTGGATTTGCAGGGAGAGGGAGGTTAGATATCAAAGGACATGACCTGGTAATCACAGTTATGGGACCGTAGAAATAGAAACCAAGTCTAAATGTCCTTTCTTTTTTAAAAAGCCAACAACAATCCCTCCCCCTTGGCTAATACCAGGAAGAGAAGGGTTGAAAGGAGCTTGCAGATCACAGGGGTAAGCCTCTTCCTAAGGTCCAGTGAATGATCGATTTCACCTGGCCAGACCCTAAAAGCCCCCTCAAGGCTGAGTGATCAGGAGGGACTGGGGGGTGGGGGGACAGTACCAGGCAGCCTCTGCTCCACAGCCCTGAGGGGGTGGAGAAGGCAAACCCTGGTCATCCCTCTGTCTGTAGCCCTTTTGTGTAAGTGCCTGGTGAGGATGACGTGGGCTGTTCCTCAGAGCACAGCTGCAGGCAGTCAGGGAGGAGGTGGGGCCTGGGCTGCCCTGCCCCCCCATATCCTCCCCCCAAGGCTTGTCCGGAGGTAGGGGACTTGTACCCTGAGATCTCTGCTTGGCCTGACCCTGCTGCAAGGGCTGTCTGACCCCAGTAACAGTGGAAATGGCAAGTTTATTGAGCTCCCCTTTGCCCTGCTGTCTCCCCTCCCTCCTCCTCCTTCAGCTGTCTTCCAGCTATGCAGGTAAGTTTTATCTTTATTCCTGCTCTGGGGAGAGCCTGAAAACAGAAATGCTAGCGTCCCTGGGCTCACTTCCTTCAATTCATCCTCAAGTTGCTATGCAGCTTATCCTACCCAAACAAAGCTGTGCTGGACCTGGTTCCCCTCCTCAGTGGCTCCCTACAACCTTCAGAATAGAACCGAAACTCCATGATGTGACCTTAAGTCAGAGCTCTCCTTGAACTCATGCTTTCCTATCTTTCCAGCTTTGGTTTCTCACCTACCAAAAGGAGATATAATAACAATTTCTTGGAGTTGCTTGTCAGGGTCCAATGAGATGGAGTATTTAACATGCTTAGTAGTACCTGTGCCTGGTAAATCTTGATAAATGTTTGTTGAATTATAGTATCTTGTCAGGTTCAAGAGCTTGATCAGTTTTTATAAAGGAGTCCTGCTTTCACATGCTGGGGAAAGAATGAAAAAAACAGAAGACAGATTCCCAGACTCAGGGAATCACCTAACAAAGGAGGCCCAGTCCACGTACTCCCTTGAGAAATCCTTGCAGGTGTAATGGAGAAACAGGCCTTATCTCCTAGTAACTCTGAGTTGGGCTGATAAGACACAGTCCACATGGGAAAGAGATTGGGAGCATGTACAGGGCAGGGTCCAGGAGCTGCAGTGAGGGTTGCAGGTACAGAGGAAAAGAAGGAGATAGAGCCAGTTGCAGGGTGGGAGACCTAAAAGGAGAACTTGGGAGCAGGGTGTGAACAAGGACGGAGGGCTGGGAAGTGGTAGAGAGGCAGTGGTGGAGAAGTGGTTAAAATCAAACCTCTACGCGGAAGGGAAGGATCAGTTTGGCCAAGTTGGATCAGGGAGGCGCAGGAGAGAATTAAACTGTAAGATGCTGGGCCGCATTCCAAGGAGGGACCTAACCCTGGGCTGAAGAAGGTGCATCAGAGATGGATGCAGTTGGCAGAAAGGCAAGCAGCCTCTAGCAACAGCCATATGCTAGAATGTTCTGTCCAGGGGCACCCATGGTATCTGTATAACCAGAGACCTTTAAGAAAAATTGAGCTCCTCCCTGGCTCTAGAATTCTATTTAAAAAGCTAGTGCCTTCTTCCTTCCCTGTTTTGAAGCAGCCCCCTCCCATGACATGCTTATCTGTCAGAGTTCTCTCTGGAGCTCAGTTTCCTTTCTTTGGTATCTTGGACAGGACAGTTCAGAGTAATAGGACCAGGGCATCCCATCCGGGCTCTGGTGGGGGATGAAGTGGAATTGCCATGCCGCATATCTCCTGGAAAGAACGCCACAGGCATGGAGGTGGGATGGTATCGGCCGCCCTTCTCGAGGGTGGTCCATCTCTACCGAAATGGCAAGGACCAAGATGCAGAGCAGGCACCCGAATATCGGGGCCGAACGGAGCTGCTGAAAGAAGCTATTGCTGAGGGGAAGGTGACCCTTAGGATCCGGAACGTAAGGTTCGCGGATGAAGGAGGTTTCACCTGCTTCTTCCGAGATCATTCTTACCAGGAGGAGGAAGCAATAGAACTGAAAGTGGAAGGTGAGTAGTGCCATATTAATACTGGGTATTATCTGCTGGGTGGCCAAGACCTCCCTTTGAGACTTTAACCGTTCTCTCAATAGAGATGAGATCCTTCAGCCCAAAAATTTCACACCTGGGAAAAACTTCCCTAGAAATGCACACATCGGTACAGAGGAATCGTATGTTCATGGGTGTTTGTGGCATTGTTATTTATAGTGGGAAAGAAGCTGGAATCCAAGTCCATGACCAGGGGTAGGCAAGTGACTGAATAAATGTCGTTATCCGTACCCTATTATGCAGCCACTAAGAAGATTGTTTTAGGGCTACACCAGATGGCTTGGAGGCACTCGATGAGGTGTTGTTGAGAGGGAAAAGAAAGCTACAGAATGAAGGGAACAAAGATAAAGCCAAATGTTTGTGAATATAGATATGTTGCAGAAAAATTTTAAGAGGATAACCATAAGAAAGTTTATATAATTCACTTTGGAGGAAGATGGGAAAGAGGATGGGGTATGGTCTAACCAAAAATTAAGACTGTAATTATCCATATGATCATATTTATGAATTATTATGAAAGAATATATAATATGTACATTTTGGGGTACATATAGAGAAAAAATAAAGAAAAAAAATTTTAAATAGAAAGGAAAACCAAAAGAGGCAGCAAAATCCAAAATAATCAGTTTCTGGTCATTTTGCACTAATAGAGGGGAATATGAATAATCTGAAAGTTAATCCCCATATCCAAGTGAACTTTCTTATCTGTTTTGCTTCGGAATGTTTCTTTTTTGTTGTTGTTGTTATAAACAAGGGCGTCATTCCTAACAAGTCAAATTAATCAAGTCCTGTTACCATGAATTCCTCAGTTGATGTTGCTTGTGGTGTTTTATTAGACAAGGAACATTACTGAAAAATATATTCCTGATGTAGTTCAAGTGAATAAACAAGTAAAACAAATGTCTGAGTATCATAATATGTCTGAAAGAAAGAGACATCTCCTGTAGATTTTACCTTCACCACCTCCTTTCTCTGGAATCCCATTTTCCATGTCTTGTGTGATGGATGACTTTGGAATTTATTTTTCTTGTTTGATCCCAGGATAGTTAAGATGCAGACAAGGTGAAGTGGATGGAGGGAGAATTTTAAAGTTAACTGCTATTTAATTGAAGAACAAAAATGTTCCTAGGGCTCAGCTCAGGTCTCTCCCTTTCCTTCTCCCCAACCTGCAGTGACAACACCAAACAATCCATCACTTTTGTATCCCAAAGGCTACTGTTGCAGAGCTGGGCCCAAAAGATGGCACTGTATGGGGAATAACAAAGCACTATTTCTGAGACAGATTGCAGGGGTATGAAAATAGCTTTGCGTGTCACAGAGTGTTCCTAGAGCTGTCACTGGGGATTTTTACCTGCAAGGAAGTTTGATAGTGAGGACCTCTCCCATTTATAGATTTTCTCCTTCCTGTTCAATAATGTCCTAGTTCAGTATCTGCCTTCCCCAGACACTCCCTACTCCCACTACACAAAGGAGGGAAGGAAGGAAAAAAAAGAAAGAAAAGAAAAATGGCTTCAGGGGAGAAAGTTTTCCTTTGGGTTGTTTTCCATATTCCAACCCCTTCCTACTAACTTATAGTCTGCATGCCTTAAGAGTCTTAAATAAGTATTTTACAAGTAAAACAGGAATCTGAGACAAAGTTAGGATTGAAACGCCACAATTGTGTATTGTGAATTTCAGACAGAATTACTTCTCCTCCTCTATAGAGTTTTTGATTTATCTCCCCAACTCCTTTTTGTCATTTCTGTGACTTTGTTATTAGTTGTCTCAGAAGTATCTTTGTCTAGCCCCCTGAAACAGAGAACAAGATGAAAAGGGCTGGCCCTGCAGCATGGCACATCAAGATTAGACAGATAGAGCTCTGGGCACTGAGGACAGGATTCTAGAATGTGAAATAGGTAGGAGCCAGGGAGAGCTGAAAGCACCCTCTCCCCACTTACTCCCCCCACCAACCCCAGGCTCCCCGGCCCAACACACACACACCACCACCACCACCACCACCACCACCACCACCACACCACACACCACACACACACACACACACCACACCACTCAGGGGCCAAGTTCTGTGGAACAGACTTTCTCAAAAGCTCTGGAAGAGGCGTTCTTAACATGTGTCTCTCTTGGCAGATTAGTGAAGTTGGTGGACCCCCCCTCAGGATACTGTAAATACACAAAGTTGAATATATTTGGTACTGAAGTAGTTATCAAAATATTAAAATAATGAGATATGGGGTGGCCCTAATAATCACTTTCAAAATAGTGATGAACATGTGATATTTTGAGATTTCCACAACTCTGATATAAAAATATTTGTGATTTTCACTGATGTCTAAATCACAGGTCCTATTATTGTGTTGTCTACAAACATAATCGCAAGAAACACTAAATTTGAGTTTAAAGGTTACTGAAAAAGTTTTATTTTTCTATTTAAGTCCACAAATCCCTTGATTTCCTACACCCCCACCATTGTACTAGCTCAGACTCATGCTGTTTTTTACTTTCACTATTTTCATGACCTCTTAACTGACCTCCCTCCCTCCATCCTGCAGTGGGTAAATCGGATCTCCTCACCCCAACCTAGACTCCACCAGTGTTTCTCTGCGACCTGGAGTCAGATCTTGGTCCTTTAGCTGGTTCTCAAAACTATCCAAGACTGTTCCAAAATACAACCTTGAATCTTGTTGCCCTAAGCCAAGCTCTGCCTGGGAACCCACTTCTTCAAGGCCTGGCTGACAGGTCAATTTGGTGTAATCTTCTTTGAGTCTTGGTGACATTTGTTCCTTTATTCAACATGATTTATTGAGCCCCAGGCACCATGATGGGTGTTGAGGACAGGGCACTGATCATGCCACTTCTGCCTTTCAGATAGTTAAAAAACAAAATTCATCCAAGTAAATTTGAAGATCTAATTGGCCCTATTAAGTGATTCATGATTCCAACAGCATCCCCTCTAGCAAGGAGACTTCCAAGGACTCCTACAGATATGAGATTTTGATAGACAGGAAGGTGGGGGAAAAGTTACTAGCAGATGAGAATGGATTGTTCAGTCAAGGCCTGTTCTCTCAGGCGGAAGAGCAGGGGGCCTAATAATGCAGATTAGCCTAGCTTCTTTTAGAGAAGATGGAGAGGCTCATGTGGTGGATTGTCTAATCCACTACTGACCAGGAAACTCCTGACTGACCACATTTCTGGGGGAAGTTGAATCTATAATCGGGTTTAAGCATTAGGCCCTGGTTTGATGGCTTGGCCTAGCAGAAATGACCCCTCATTGGGCCTGTCTTTCTTCTTAACAGACCCCTTCTACTGGATCAATCCCGGGGTGCTGGTTCTCATCGCTGTCCTGCCTGTGCTCCTCCTGCAGGTCGCGGTGGGCCTCGTCTTCCTCTGCCTGCAGCACAGACTGAGAGGTGCGGGGGCTTGGGGATCTCCCCTGCACCTGCATAGAGCTGGCATCTTAGAACTTGATCAGCTGTTTATTTTTGAGTGACTTCTGGGTTGGAAAGTCATTAATGACAAGTCTCCCATTTTACAGAATATCTTCATTGGGTAACCTGGCTTTCCCTATGAGGTAGGGTTGACATAACAGCCCCATGCAGCAGAGGAGGCAGAGGCCCAAGGTGTTCAGGGATTTACTCAGTGGCAGAGCTCAGGCCTAACCCCCCACCTCTTGGCCCCTGTGCCATACCTAGAAACTTCAGGAAACTGGGATAGTTTGAGTTTCAGAGTGGGACATGTCTAGGTCGTTAGGAGGTTTAAACAATGACACTGTAACACATAGTAGGCATTCAAAAATGCTCTATTCAACAATGAGGACACAGGTTCAGTTGATGATCCTTCTCCCCAAAGCCTAACCGTGCAGGACCTCTCCTAGTCCTCCTGCCCTTCCCATTCCTCAGAGGAAGCAGCAGGAGGGCTTGGTATGCGAAGTGTTGGTGGATCTACAACAGGATCTTCTCTCCCCTTGAATTCAGCAAATACCATTACCTCCTTCTTCATGAAAGAGGTTTTCAACCCACATGACTGAGCAGAAAGAATCTGGGCTGTGGACTTAGGCAGCCCCAGCTTGACGTGACTCTCCAAGCCCAAGTTGCCTAGTGAGTCAAATAGGGACAACACTCTCCCTCCTACATTAGAAGATTAAAGGGGACAGTGTTATGTAAAGTGCCTAGTATAGAGGCAATCCCAAAGTAGCTGCTCAATTTACTGCGGAATTCCTCCCTCCCTCATCAGAAGTGTCTTTAGACAAACGAAGTGACAACCCAGCAAGGTGGAGTGGCAAAGTGAACGGAGAACACCAGGAAAAGGAGCAAAGAGCAGTGGGGGAGCAATAAAACCTTAGGTCGGTTTGGAGCATTGCTGTCTACCGAGGCGTTCTGCATCCTTTACCCCAGTATTTAACCCAGACGATAGCCAGAGCTCTTGACTCCACATCCACAGTATTTCCAGACTCCTAAGGATGCTCCCAGGCTGCAGAGAAACTGCCTGCATAAAAGCCCCAGGCGCTGGGTGAGGGAGGGGACCCACTTAGGGCCAGAGCTGGAACTGAAAATGCTGTCTTTTTCTGTTTTAGGAAAACTTTGGGCAGAGATAGGTGAGTTCCAGGCACCATCCCTCCCCAATTCCTCCTTCCTGGCCTTTTGGTGTAACCCTCAGACCGTCTTTGCCTCTGCCCTAGGACCCCATTCTCCCTTAGGTGACAATTCACTATTAAAACTTCTGTAAACAGCTGGGAACTGCAGAAAGTCTCATTTCTCTTTCCGGCTGTCAGCCAGGGTAGAAGCAAAATCCTACAGCTTCCTCCTTAAGAGTCATTCACAACTAGAAACAATTTTAAATGACTAAATAGCAAAAATTCAGGAGAAAAAGCATCCCCTCCGAGTGCCCTACTGAGTCCCTTTCCATTTGTTCCTCTTCCAGAAAATCTCCACCGGACTTTTGGTAAGTGCTGGGTAGCCACCCTTCGGTCGGCTTGGTGGTTCACTCGGTTCCAGTCTCCTGGGGAAATAAGGAGCCCTGGTTCCTGGTTGGTTTCCTTCCCTCTCCACCTCTTTTTCTTTCTTTGAATAAGTCTTCTAGTTTGAGGATTGGTAAGATAATGGCAAATACACTATTATGTGCCAGGCACTTGCCTTACCAACAGATTTCCCATGTTAACTCATTCTGTAAGAATTACAGGTGCTTCATGCACACTGTTCATCTTTTCAGGAATTACAAAGGGGAGGTAAAAAGATATTTTGGGCATAAACTTGGTGTCTAGTTGGGGAGGCAATACATACACATGAATTAACTAGAGAACAACGTACATATATGCCATCAGCTGTGCCTGAATGGCAGAATGAGTTCTCATGAGTACAGAACAAGTAACTATATGTGACTCATCAGGGAAGGATTCTTGGAGGAAAAGTGAAGACACCAAGCCGCACAAAAACGTCGGCCCCTCCAGGGTATGGCCCCTGTCCTTTTTGTTTACTGCAGATGCAGCCCTTCCTGAATGGCCTCAGGCCATAGGAACCCCAGCACCTGGCACTTAGCACACTAGAACTCCATCCTAGCATTTATGACATTCCATCAGTGTGCAACACACACACACAGTTTTTGTGACCCAAAGGGGAGGAATAGGATCTCTGTGTTGTAGAATCTGAATGTCAAAGGTCTTACCAATTTTTGCACCATGATTCTCCTCGGCTGTCTGGTGAACCCTAATGCACCCTTCTCAGAATATTTTTTCATGTATGCATAAAAGATAACAATTTCTAAGAAAACTATTGCATTGAAATACAGGTATCAAAATATAAATGTATCTGATATAGTAACAAATGTTTCTTTAAGTAACAAAACTACATTAAATAACAATGAGCAGCTCATCTAATAACTTGTACTTTCAAAATACTGATAAACAGTATTTTGAGATTTCTGCATCAACTCTGATGGGAATGAAGGGATCTATTTCCATTGGTGGTAAAGTCACAGGTGCTGCTGGTAACTGGTTTGCTGCCTACATTTTTAATGGAAGAAATGTGCTAAATTCAATTAGAGGTGAGTGAAAATATAGATGTAGTGCTTTTCATATCCAAGCTCATAGACTCCCTGAATTCTATCCAGACTCCTTTGGTGTTCTTGGACCCCAATAATAAACAGAGAAAGGTGGTGGGACATGGGGGGAACACATGTTAATCCTGTTTGTTCTGTGGTGAATGATTCAGATCCCCACTTTCTGAGGGTCCCCTGCTGGAAGATAACCCTGTTTGTAATTGTGCCAGTTCTTGGACCGCTGGTTGCCTTGATCATCTGCTACAACTGGCTACATCGAAGACTAGCAGGTGCAGTGGTGGGGCAGCAAACAAGACTATTGACCAGAGGGGGACTGAGTCAGCTCTGAATGGGAACAGGAGGAGGGTGGAACCAGGGCTCAATATTTGAAGAGAAGAGATTTCCTTCCTCTCTGTTCCCACAGTCAACCCCTGGCTCCTCAGAGACTCTATGAGGAGAACCACTTACTGAGCTCTGTGGGGTCCCTTACTGGAAAGGGAAGGGTGGGTCACTGCAAATCTCCACAGGGAGGCTGTGGGGAGGGAGCTGGTAATTTTCCACCAATCACCTGTTTCTCTTTGTTTTCAGGGCAATTTCTTGAAGAGCTGAGTAAGTTTTCTTCTCCTTATAAACTAAGAACAAAAAAACAGGAAAGCAGAAAAGAGGAAGAAGGCAGATATCAAGGGATCAAAATCCCAGAGGGAAGGCGGGCTTATCTGTGAGGTAGAAGCAAGGGTTCCCCAACCTGCTGCAGATTTGCTCCACCTCTGGTGCCCTCAGCAGGAACCCCCAAGTTGGCCTCCTTTCCCATTTCTTCCAGCAGCTGCCCTGTGCCTTACCTCCAAAACCAACCACTGAGGCAGGCACAGTGTCACGATGACTCCAAAGGACTTTTCCTCTCCTGGGTTTAATGGCTTCATGATAGAACTACTGGCAGACTTTTCAAGTTATTTTCTCATCCTTCCAGGAAACCCCTTCTGAGTGACATCGCATCTTGGCAGGGGCAGAGGAGAGCCTGGCTGTCCGAGGACCAGTCCTTGGAGATGTCACGCCCATCACACTGCACACTCACTGGCCTCCTGCTGCGGGGACATTCAATCTGCACTTACAGGGACGCCCTGAATTCCAAATGAGATTGATTTCTTTTGTCATCTATCTTTTCTCTTTTCTCCAGCTCCTTCCTTCCTTTCCCCATTTTGCTGCCTACATCTTTCCACTCCACTCTCCATATTCCACCTGGAAGCCCCCTCTGGCTGCGGCCAGGCAGGTGCTCTTCTCTCCACTGGAGGACACCTATATTGGAGAGTGGCAGACAGGACAGTCTCTGCTGCAAAGCCAAGACCAGGAGCTTCCTCATTGCAAATTATGGCAAACTACTGCAAATGGTGCTTGTTTCTTCCAAGATCCCAGTTTTGATGGGCAGAGCTGAGAGGTGTGGAAGGTTGAAGGGATGGAACTGGAGAGTCCAAAGCATCAGGGAGAGAGCTAAGTGAGCTCCAGAGTGAGGACACAGGGAGCCCTGACCCAAACGGAAGGCGGGGAGAATCCCACAGAATACTGGCCAGAGCTCCATCTCGCCCAGCAGCCTATGAAGGACCTTGGGCAGCATAGGGTGTGCTTCAGAAGGCTTTCCCTTCCACTCCCTCTCTTGTATGGATGGGTGCCTCCTGCTCTCTCTCCTCATGCCCTTTCCACCCATCTCCAGACCCAGATCCCAGATGGGATTCCACCCATCTTCCACACCTCTCAGTGTTCCAGTTTCCTTCAACCATTACTGCTTGATGATCTATCAGATACAAAGAAACAGGCGAGGTGCTAATTAATAACAATACATGTTTCCATGCACCACTTGTCCCTTTCCTTCCTGCATTTCCTTCATTACCCCCTCACATCTCTTCCTCTACGTGGCTCTTTACCCTGGAGGTCAGTCCTCAGAAAAACCAAGCACAAAGAAAGACCTCTGTCAGAGGGGCCATTTACTTAAGTCCCAAGATCCTAGAGGCCTGTGCACTTTCTTTCCTCTACATGCCTTCTTCCTTCACTTCCTCCCCTCTTCTGGGGGCCTGGATCCCAGGGAGAGACCCACTTCCTTCCCTTCCCTAGAGGAGGCATCTCCAAAGAAGCCAAGCCATTGACCCAGGATCAGCCGGCATTTATAGGTACTACCTGGGCACAGCTCCTTGCCTTTGCAGCAGCCCCAGTGACCCATAAGGCCCTCCTTCTCCCCAAAGCAGACATCGCAGATAGGGCAGCGGTAGATCTTCTGCTTCCAGTGAGCCTGTTGATGTCTGATCAGCCCCGAGAATGAACCGCAGGACTTGCCACAGTGGAAGCAGCAGGTGGGCTGCTCTGTGAGGTGGGCCTTCTGGTGGCTGGCAAGATAGGCTTTCTTGGTGAAAGTGGAAGGACAGTGAGAGCATGAGAAGACCTTGAGCCTTGAAGGCTTTGCTGGGTGAGGGTTGGAGCAGGTTTCCAGGCAGGAGGCTCTGGTATTGGGTGCCTGGGTCCCAGTCACAGGCTGTGGGGTTGGAATGGCTGGTGCCCGAGTTCTCACAGTTATCACCTGCTTCTTGGCTGTAGCTGCCTGCTTCCTGTCTATAGATGGCTGGGTCTGAGTCACAGGAATCTTGGTTCTAAATCTGGGTTCTCGCGTCCTGGCCACTGGTGCATGGTCCCCAGCCATAAGGCCCTGGCTGGATTTCTGGTTCTTGACAACAGGATCTTGGGATCCAGCTGTGTTGCCTGGAATCTGCACAGTATTGTTCCAGTTTCCAGCCACTGGCTCCTGGTTTTGGTGTGTCCTCAGGTGTCGTTTGAGCTCAGACTGGTCCCGGAAGCCCTTCCCACAGAAGGGGCATGAATGGGGCCGGTAACCTAGATGGACACGGCGGTGACGACTCAGTCCAGAAGCGTCACAGTAGGTCTTGTTGCAGAGAGAGCAGCAGAAGGGCCTCTCCCCAAGATGCATGCGCCTGTGGTAGCTGAGGGCCTTGGGGCTCCGAAATGACTTCCCACACTGGCTGCAGTTGTGAGTCTGCTTGGGATTGTGAACAAACTGGTGGCTACGGAGGTTGGAGAGCTTGCTAAAACACCTGCCACAGGTGTGGCAGGTAAAGGGGGGCCCAGCCCAGGATGCTGGGAACACTGGGGTCCTGTCTGTGGACTCAGTGGGAGCAGAGGATGGGCCTGCCCCTCTGCAAGCAAGGGAGACCTTTCTGTCATTGCCACTCCCCTCATCTCTCAGACTCTCTTGAAGTTCCTCCTTCTTGGCTCCTATAACGAGTAAGGAAGAATAACAAGCCTCACCACGAGAACCCAACAGAAGCTCTCCTCCATTCAGTCACACTATTCTCCCTCTTTCCACCTCACTCTCCCATTCAGCCTTCCACCCTCACTCTGACTTCATAGGCTAGAGGTAAGAATACATGTTTGGGTTTTCAAATGAGAAGTAATGAAAAATTTATCTGGGATCTTTCAACAAGATCAGAAATCAAAATTTTAACTTATGACCACATTTCTTAAAATGCATATTGTCTCATTTTCAATAGTGCTCACACTCCCATGGACACTCCTCAGATATCCACAGTGCAACTCATAATATATCATGGAAATGTAGATATCTGAGATACTATTAATAATCAACCTTTAAGCCAAGATTGTCCTGGCAAACCAGGAATGAGGTCAGCCTGACCTTAAATTTCTCCCAAGACCTTTTTCTATTCTCTGGAACAAGGCTCCCCGACTCCAACTCAATATCAGGCTCACCTCCCTTTTCTCTCCTCTTGGGAAGGACTTTTTAATCAAAGGGGTCTTCCTGACATAAGCGACCTACATGTAGTCTCTCAAGCCCTAGAAACTGAAAATGCCCAATTATCCTGAAAGACTTAGATATTCATCTTCTTGAAGCCAAGGGACTTAGGCAGATGATCTCAAGGTCTCTTCCAGCTCCAGGTCTGACCAGGCTGGAAGGTGCAGGTTAGCAGAGGAGATACAAATCCCTGATCCTCTCAGTCAGCTTTCCCTCCTCTTAGGGCATGTCCTGGACCCTTTCCATATCTCTCTCTTTTGCAATTCTTACCAGAAGGGAGGCGTTCTCCACTTGGGGGACAGAGATCTGCTCTCCACTGTTTCTCTTCTTGTTCAAGCTCGGTGATCAGATCTGGATGAGACAGAAAGATTCTGGCTAGTAAATGGGAAAGAGGGGAGTTGAGGTCCCAGGCTTGGCCCCTTCACACCTGATGGGGACAAGACTACCTTCACCCGTATCCTTGGTTTAGGAACCATAATCTTACGGGCAAGGAGGAAAGCTCAAAAGACTAGCTCCTAACAAAGTGCCTGGTATATCATACCAGTGACTCAGTAAATATTGATTAGATGAATAGGCAATTTGCATATTTGGAAAATACTGTCTTCATGTTGCAAGTGTTATCTTTGCCCTCAGGCAACTTTCATCTCTTCGTATTTTATTCTAAGCTTAGTGACCCAGATCTTTCATGTCTGGAAAGTATGAAACCAAGGGTCAGTAAGGTTAACTATGAGCTTATCTACCTGCCCAAGAAAACCCGATGTTCCAGGACCACAAGGGGCTTGCTGAGGGAACCCCTCCTCTTACCCACAGATACCAGGTGTTTGAAGGTCTCTGACATAACATCCTGGTAGAGGACCCTCTGCCTGGCATCTAGACATTGCCATTCCTCCTGGGTGAAATTCACTGCCACATCCTCAAAGGTAACTGGCTTCTGGAAGAGCAGGAAAGACTCAGGGAGTCTGCACACATTCAGATATAGACATCCAGTCTCAAGGTTCAGAAAACTAAAAGAAAATTAAAACCGTGGAAGTAAGGGAGAAATATGAAAAGACAGGCACATAGCCAGCTGCAGAGACCAGCTCCGCAAAGCAGCTGAGCCTGAGAGGAGTGGATGGGGAGATTAAGAAAACACAGAGATAGCAAGAAAGACACAAAAACCAAAGTTGGAATCAGGAGGTTCACTGACCGCTGGTGGCGGAACAGTGGTGCAGTTTTATTTCAGAGTACTGCTTATGTACACAGGCTCACTTCCTGTGAGCTGCCCACAATGATGTCACTTTTGGTGTTGTCACTTTTGGCTGATCTCACACCCAGTGATCTCATTTCCAGCCCTCCACAGCCAGCAACTTTAATGTATAGAAAGGAAGGAAAGAGGAAGAAGAAACATGTGAGAGGGAACATGAGGAGTATATACTGAAAATAAATAGAGAAAACAAGTGAAGGAAAAAAGGCTGCACTTGACAAATTTTAGGAGATACTCCACAAAGAATGACAGGGTGGTGGTGCAGGGACAGAGAAAGGCTTGTAGCCCCTTTTCCTGGGTGGTGTTCAGCTTGGAACAGTCTGAGATTCCACAGCTCTGTAGACAGGAGAATGGATGAAAGAGTTCAGTCTAGGAGCTGGTCCTTCCCTCTATCTTGGTCTCACCTTCACCCATGCCTTCCACCAGCACTCTGTCTTCATGGCTTCCAGCAGGGCCTCCTCGGCCACCTGAGGGAGCTTCTGTACAGGTTCCATGGGCTTCAGCTGGCCAAACACTTTCTGTTCATGGTGTCTCTTTCTAGCTTTTTCCACTCCTAGCCTGGCCCCCAAGACTGACTGAACTCCTTCCTGGAGCTATTTACCTCCCAGTAACTGAATAGACAGAGAGGCTTTGCAAAGTCCTCAGGATTTGACGCAGCTTCCAGTAACAAATATACCTACTCCAAGGGGCTTTCTCTTTTGTTCTGCTATCCAAATTCTCTTCTTTCACAACTGAGAACACCTGTGGTTCCCTCAAAGCCTAAGCTACATATAGAGTTCAGGGACCTAGTCACCCTTTGGCAGGGTGGTTCAGCTGCCATCATCCAGGAATGCCAAGTTGGGGCTATGAAGGCATCTTTCTGTTTTCACCCTCCTTCTAGTCACTGGCTGGCGCCCATCTCTAGGAACCTGAGGTCAGAGAAGAACAAAATGTATCAACAAGAGAGGAGGGAGTGAGGAACAACAGTTTCTTTATTTGGTCAGGCAACACTAAGAATTATGAACGCCTACCACTGAATACTCTCAGCACCAGCCCATGAGGTAACAATTACTGGCCCCGTTTTAAGGAACCTTAAGTGCAGAGACGCTGAGTAGCTTGCTCCAGGGCACTCTTGGACACTGCAGAATCAGTGTCAAAACCTAGGCTCTGTACCACTGAGAGCATTAGTCCCTCCGTTCCAAAGCACTCTCTAAACTGACAGTATGATATTCTGGAAAGAAAGCATGTGCCTGAGGTAGCCAGCTGGATCTGTCACAAGCCGCCTGGTACAAGTCTCTTCACTTTGATCTGGTTTCATTGGAAAATGAGATTAAAGGAGACACTAAGAGCCCACTTAGGACCAAAAAAATACAGTTCTGTGGATTTTGAATACATAGATTCTTGTAAAGAATAACACTGATAACAACCCGTCAGCAAACACTTTCTTGGAGCTCACGATGAGCCCAGCACTGAGGTTGCCAGCCCATCCAGGAAGTTCTTGCTCTGAAGCACACATGCCTCATCTCTAGCCTTTTCCTGCTGACAGCCACTTCCTCCACTTCTCACTCTTGAGATGGAATAATAAGAATAAAAGCAAAAACCTTTTGACTTTATTTCTTTCACATTTTTGGATGGGTGGTCGAATTGACAATACCAGCAAGGAAAAGGGCATTTGACAACAGAGCTAATGGGATCACTAAAAAGAAAGTTGTCATGGAAGGTGCATTCCTGGGCTCAGAAGCTGAGCCCCTCCTTCTCCTTCAGGACCTTTCAGTCATTCTGTGACATGAGCGGGTCTGGATGATTCTATTCTCCAGCCCATTACAATAAAACTAACATTTTGAAACAGTCCCAGTAACAGAATCCTCCATGTCCTGGCTATCCTGTTCTCCAGGACAAAAGACCAGCCTCTGTCACTAGTCCTCAGAATAGCATTTGCTGGGGGTGGTAGAAAGAGGCTCTTTCTCCAGATTCTAAACCGGCTGTTCCGGGAGGGAGCATGGCCCCAGAGACTGGATTTCCACTGTCTTTTGCCTGCTCCTGTCACTTCTTTCTACCTCCGATGGTACTTTCTTCATCCACAACCCCCCAGAGCTTAGACCCGCTGGCAGGCCAGGAAGGAGGCTGAGTAGAACTCACTGACTTGTCTGACTTTTGGCGCAATGGGGCTTATCCGACCCCGCCCTTCCAGAACGCAAATCCCTCGAGGGAATGTGCCGCCATTTTCCAGTCCTGAGTACCCCACAGTCTCTTTCTAACCCAAAACCCGACGATGGTTTCCCACAGCAATTTTTGGAATCAGCGAATCCCCAACTCTTCTGTAAGTTTTTGTGCGTTCGCCCTCGCTGTGCCCCACCCGGTGCTCCCGCCACTGGAGTTTTCTGCCCTTTAGCCCTCTCCCCCCTCACGGCCTTCGGGTCTCTGCTCAGTCCCTGAAGGACCCTTTTCCCTACTACGCCGTCCTGCCCCCCAGCTCCCGCACCCCGGCCCCGAGGCCTCCTGCGGGCCGGGCCTGGCAGGGCAGGTTTTGCTCCCACTGTGCGGCACAGCGGGCGCTTATTCATTCCCACTGAAAGGGGCTTCTGTGCCCAGAATCGGTCCCACTAACTGGGACGGCGTTGCCCGAGTCTCGAATGCCCCAAAACTTCATTTCTGGTATCCCGACTTTCTCAACACTTGCCAGAAGCCCCTTATCGGCACCCGGTCCCCAGCATGGCCGGAGAGGCGGGCGCACCAGGCCACACCTCTGATCCAGCCGGGTTTCCCCGAAGGGTCCCAGAGGTTGGAAGCTCCTCCAAGATTAGAGGTACGATGCTCCCCTCATCGGCCGAGGTCAGGGGTAGGGAGTACGGGACGAAGACCTGCATTTGCCTCCACCACCGTGAGCTCAACTTCCGGCTGCCCTACTTACCCGCCGCGTGCGGAAGACGGAGACCTCGGGGGCGTGTCCCCGGGCTCCGCCGCGAGCCCGCTCCAGCCCAGCGCACGCTCCCCTCCGCGGCGGGCTTGAGGCGCCCGCGACCCCGCCCTGGCTCCTCCCCCGGCCCGCCGCTCTCCCCGCCCACAAGCCCCCCGAGTACCCTGCTCGGTGTCCCAGGGAAGGTGTGGGCCCGTCAAGGTCAAGAGTTCACAGCCTAAGAAACCTAAAAGGAAGAGAGCCTGCCCCGCCCCACCAGCCCCCAAGACTCTTACCAATTGCAACCGCTGTCCCTACCTAGCGCTAGTATCTGTTCTTGTTCTCAAACTTAATTTACTCTTAAAAAAAAAAGTAAACAGTGAATTACTTCTGATTAAACACACAACCACCAACCGGCATCACCTAAGAGCCCCAAGGAGAAAAAAATCACAGGCCCCGGGAAAGAGAAGTGGAGGCACTTAGTACCGTAGAAAACCGAAGGCAAAAGGAGAGAACACAGAGTAATTCAAATGATGACAGATGGACAGAGGTGGGAGAGTGGAAAGGGCCATATCCAGGTAAAGTTCTACTTACCTCCGCCATGTACCGAACCCAATTCAACCCTTCTCAGCAATTTTTCTTCAGAAAACATTTTGTAAAAAAAAAAAAATCAGTCCAACAGAAATCAATTTATTTTCTGTCTAATCAATTAATTAGCACTTACCGTGTTACTTTTTGTATTATGATCATTTTTTTTTTTGAGAGGGCATCTCTCATATTTATTGATCAAATGGTTGTTAACAACAATAAAATTCTGTATGGGGGAGTCAATGCTCAATCCACAATCATTAATCCAACCCCAGCCTAATTCTCGTCAGTCTCCAATCTTCTGAAGCATAACGAACAAGTTCTTACATGGTGAACAAATTCTTACATAGTGAGTAAATTCTTACATGGTGAACAGTACAAGGGCAGTCATCACAAAAACTTTTGGTTTTGATCACTCATTATGAACTATAAACAATCAGGTCAAATATGAATATTCGTTTGATTTTTATACTTGATTTATATGTGAATCCCACATTTCTCCCTTTATTATTATTATTGTTTTTTTTTTAAATAAAATGCTGAAGTGGTAGGTAGATGCAAGATAAAGGTAGAAAACATAGTTTAGTGTTGTAAGAGAGCA